GGTGTCGAATAATTTCGTGTCGAATCGTACGGTGTCGAATAATTTTGTGTCGAATCGTACGGTGTCGAATAATCTGGTGTCGAATAAATCTGTGTCCAATAATTTGGTGTCGAATCGATCGGTGTCGAATCGTACTGTGGTCAAACGGAACACGCCCCCCGCCGTCAACCACTCCTTCTGCCCTTTGCTGGATAACGACGCGGGGGGAGCAGGGACAATACTCCCACCGTGCCGGCCCCTGAGTGTCCGATCACTCTGGGGCGGTAAGTCCTTCTTCGTTTTGCTGTCAATCATATATTTTTTTTCTACTTATTTGGTTTAACATCGGTGTTTTCCTTCACCTAGATCGGTTGGTAAACAAAACTTAACGAGCCCGATCTGCCCGGGGGGTTGAAGTGCTTTTAAGGCGGCACTCACTCGCCTTTGACGTGGATACTTCATCAGGTTTAATGGAGCACTTTATAGACCGCTCCCTTCCCACAGGAGCGACCACCCCACCCTCAGTATCCACCGCTGTTTGTCCGCGACTGCTTATTTCCCCCGAAAGGGTTATTCGCAGCTAACCTCAGTACTTGAGGCCGTTCCCCTATCCGCAACCCGGGGACGCGCTCGGCGGCAGTCAGCTCTGCCCTTGGTAGGCCGGGGCTGTCCCTTCGACCCCCAAACCGAGATGACCGACAGACCTCTGGGAAGAGCAGCAACCTAACCTAAACTAACCTAGATCACCACATTGTATCCGAAGTCCCACAGCAGGGGGCCAAGAACCGACTCTTGCGAGACCCCGCGGAACATCTCTCTCTGATGTGGCAATCCGTACTGGCCAGTGTACCTTATTTCCCTGTCGCGGAAGTAATCTCCGAGGATCCTACTCAGATAGGGTGGGACTCTGTGACGACCAAGAGCCCACCCTATGTTATCCCAGGGAAGGGAGTTAAAGGCGTTGGAGATGTCTAACGATACCGCCAACGCCCTCGCTCCCTGCCTGATCGATGCGTCCGTGAGGGACTTGAGGCGAGAAACAGCGTCTATCGTTGACCGTCCCCCACGGAACCCGTACTGGCACTCGGCAAGGTCGAGACCCACCCGCGACAGATGCTCGACGAGACGACCGGCAATAATGCGCTCAAGAAGCTTGCCCGTCTCGTCGAGCAAACAGATAGGCCAGTACGCGGACGGCGAGTCCGCAGGCTGTCCTCCTTTGCGGAGCAGGACCAGGTTGACTCTCTTCCATTCTGGGGGGAACCAGCCCGTTCTCAGGCAGTCCGTGAAGATTTGCTTGAGGCGCTCTCCCAGGGGACCCTGTCCAAAGGCAAATTTTAACACTTTGCCGGGCACGCCGTCGGGATCAGGAGCGGTGTTCTTCCGCGTCATCCGACGGACGGCCCGGCAAAGCTCCTCTTCTGTGACCCCCGAGTCGTTGGACCACTCCAACTGTTGGCCCAACTCAGGCTCCCGGAAGGGCCAATTGCCCCTCCCACCTGGGAAGAGGGCAGACACGACCCTCTCCAGGAGTTGGAGGTCAAGACTTTCGGTGATCGGCGGAGTCCATGAGCTGAATTTTTCCCATTACCAACTTGTAAGGGCGCTCCCATGAATCCGCGTCGATTGTCTCGAGGAGCTCATCCCATGCTTTGGCCTTTGCCTTCGCAACAGACGTACGCAGGGCTTTGCACGCAGCGGGATAACCCGCGTACGCCTCCGCTGCTCGCGCCGCCACGTCGCCGGTCTTTCGGCGACGGGCGCGGGTGTACCGATTTCTGGGCCGGACGCACTCAATCCGAAGATTGGCTATCTTGTCCGTCCACCAGTACACCGACCTCTGATTTGGTGGACCACGGGAGCGCGGCATCGCTGCGTCGCATATCGCGACCAGCGTCTCCCAGAGCCACTGAAGTTCTGCTCGGAGGTCCCGCGGCTCGGCCGGTGATGCTGGCCAAGCCGCGGCTTGAGCAGCGGCAGACAGGAATTGTGGGTCTAGTTGTCGAAGGACCCACCCCTGAGATGGGGGTTTTCTTCTCACCCGTGGCGACCACGAGGGCGGTCAGGGAGCGGGGAGACCCTCATAGTGAGATACCGATGATCGGAGAGGGTCTCCATATTTTCCCTGACTTTCCACTTGTCCACACGGCGCGCGGCGGACGGAGACGCGAGAGTCACGTCCACTATAGACTTGCCGTCTCGCCGGACGCACGTGTGTTGCGTACCCTCGTTGAGCACAACGAGATTGCAGGCCGCCACGAGTTCTTCAAGGGCCCTTCCATTGGCGTCCGTCTTGGGAGAGCCCCAAATTGTCGATTTGGAGTTAAAATCCCCCATGACGAGTACCGGGCGAGCCCTGTACCGATGAATCACTAGTTCGAGCTCGCCTAAATACGCCTCGAATTCGTGGAAGGGCCTTGTGAGTGAGAAATACTCCCCAACGACCGCTAGTTTCCCCCATTCTGCGACCACAAATCCTCTGCTTTTCTCCAACGGAGAGAAGACAAAGGATTCCCAACTTCTTCTCTATCGGAAGTACATCGCAACCGAGCCATCTTTTGACCCCGACCACGACGGGTGATCGGGGACATTGTATGGCTCAGCTACGACCGCCAAAACTCCATTCATTTCCGCGAGGCTCTGGATCATGAGGTCTTGAGCCCCGCGAGAGTGATTTAAGTTGCCCTGGAGGAGAACAGCCATTAATATGTGGGTGGCACTTCCAACTCCATCACCTCCTCCAGGGCACTACTCGTTGAGGGCTGAGTAGCCGTCTCCTCTGCCGCCGGCGTTGTTACATTTGCTTGTGAGGCGGCAGCGGTTACTTCTTTCGGGATAGATTGCGATCCATCCCTAGCGGTTTTTTGTGCCCTTTTCTTTCCCCGTCGGGGGATTGGGCCACAGGCTTTTCCACCCAGACGGTGGGTTGAGGGCCGGCCAAGGTCGGCGCACAGCGGGCACTTTGGTGCTGACACGCACTCGGCTACCTGGTGACTCCGGTCACCGCACCGGTAGCACCGGTCCCTCCTGTCCTCCTTCGGCGCGGAATAAGTGCACTTTGCAACAACGTGTCCGCGTCGGAGGCATCGGTAGCATTGCAGGGGCCGGCGCTCCAGCACTTCTACCGGTGCTTGCACTCAACCCACCTTTAAGGATCCAGCATCCGCTACTTTTTTCGCCGCAGCGATAGGACACTGGATCCAGGCCGTCAGCAAACCGTTGGGGGAAGCGCGAGCTCGGCCGACCAAAAACCTCCAACGGCTACTACGGCCTCCTTTACCTCGTCCGGGGTGACAGACTCGTCGAGACTTCTGACCCTCAAATGGCAAGTCTTTATGGGTCTCGCGACTTTTGCCTTCTCGAACTTGGCCGCCACGACAAACATCGCTTCACACAGTTTGTCCGCCCTGACGTTGCTGTTGTCAGGGATCTCTATAATGAGCGCCCCGGTGACTGCCCTTTTCTGGCGGATTGTTTCCACCCCGTAATCCGGCAGATTTATGCTCCTCCTCATCTCGGCCATCACCACCCTTATGTCCACGCCAGGGCGCTTGGGGACGGTCACAGTGATGGCCGCTGACCGAGGAGGTTTGCCTATCTTAGGCTGCGGCGGACGCTGACCGGGTTTAGTATCCGGAGCGGCGGATTTGCACCAGGCAGGGAGTGCTTCCGGCGCCGCAGCCGGCGGGCTTTGCGCCCGTTTGCTCTTCTTTTTGCGCCCCGCCACTTGAGACCACGTCTTCTTTGGCGGGGGCGGAAAAGAGAGCTGAGTGAAGGAGGATTGAGGTGAGTCGGGACGGGCTTGGCCCCGTGCTGTGGTCGCCCTGGCCGGAGTCACCAATTTCCCACCCTCTCCTTGTCTTCCCTTCCCGTTCTTCTTGTTCTTTCTCTTCTTTTTCCCCTTCTTTCCAGGGGAAGAGTAGAGGCTCTCTTCTGGGGGAGCGGATGCAGCGGGAGAGAGGGCGTTGTCATTTCCCCCTGTCTTCTTCGCGGGGGCATTACTGCTTCTGATGAAAGCCACCAGGTTGCTGACCCCCTTGTCGTGTCCCAGGAACGGGCGGGAGAGCCGGTGATGGAGCTGCTCCCAGAATATAGAGAGTTGACCTCGCATAGCGTCCATCACGCGACTCTCAAAATCCCTGAGGGACTTCGGTCCCGCGCTCTCTACCTCTAATGAGGGGGGTGGAGGATCACGTGGTGCGAACTCCTCCGATCGCTCGCACTGTGTGGTGCCGTCGTGGGCATCCTCCTCCGCAGTTGAGAGGGTAGCTTCCGAGTGAGGCTCCCCCGATTCCGCGGATGGGTAAGGCTCAGGTGGTTCCTCCACTTCCATCCGTGATGAAGCGGCGTGCGGTGGTGGTGAGGACGGGGCCCGGCGGTCAGTTGGTCGGTTTCGGCTCCACACCTCCTTCAGCCGCGCCATCTTGAGGAACGTAAGCTCCTTTCTCAGGTCCCTCAGTTCCTCGTGGAGTGCCTCCATTGAGGCGCCAATTTTCTTCTCGGACACTGTCCAGTTTGACTGGGCAGCGTCCTTGTCTCGTTGGAGACCAGTTACCTGGTCCTCCAAACTGTGGACCTTTTTGTTCAGCAGCTCGTTTTGCGTGATGAGTTGCCGAACGTCCCCGCCAGACTCAACGCGACCCGCCATGGTGGTGACCACGTCGTTGAGCTCTACGACCACCTTCTTAAGGTGACGGACATACGTCCATTTAAGGTTCCCAGACGTCTTTTCTATCTTGCAAATCGAGTCTGCAAGTGTGGCGGTCCGGTCCACAATTTGAGGAGTAGTCATCTCCTCCACCTCTTGGCTCTCCACGGCAGTTCGCCGTTCTCGAATCTTCGCTTGATAGAGGGAGGAATGTCGTGAGGCTGTCACCGACCTCTTCTCGACCGTGCGGATTTAGCGACGGTCCGCATGAGGTCCAGGTCAGCCTGCAGGCGCTTCTCCCGCTCGCGTGCCTCTTTGAGCTCTCGCTGGACCTTGCGCAGTCCAACATATCTCCTCGATGAGTACGGGCGCCCCCGGCTCCGTACGGGCAACTCGCACGGAGTGGGAGAGCGAGACGACCGTCCCCCCTGCTCTTCTTTTCCGGCACAAACTGGGATGTCTGGCCTGTGTCGTTCTCTCCTCCTCTTTTTATATCTCGTTGGCTGTTTGCCTTCTGCTCACGCATAGGGGGGAGATGCGACGGTTTACTTTCCTGTCGGAAGCGCCAGCCGGAGCCGTTAGAACAACCTCTGGCTCCGAGTCGGAGTCGGCGTCTCGCGGTAAGGGAGTGCGGTGCGGCTCGACCTGGGAAAGAAAAACACCCGAGGTTCCCGGTTGGGATTGAGCCTGCGTGGCAGCGCAATGATGCCTCTGTTCATCAACTCCCCCTTCCGCTCCTTCCGATTTGTCCGAGTCCCGAAGATTTGCGCGTAAACGCTCAGCCCGAGACTCGTTGCTGCTTCCCCAGAAAACTCGTCGACTTCTCAAGCCGGTTTCTGGGGAGAGGCCCCCTACTTCCATTGGCGCATTAACGCCAATCTTCGCAGACACAGTTACATGCGCCACCCCTGCGGGGCAGGTGACGCAAAGCCCGTCGTTAGATGACGACGCGCGAAGAACCGGGACGGTATCCCCCGCGTGCCGGGACCTAGCCGTCCGTTTGACCTGGTCCGGTACGTCCGTCTCGTCCTTACTTAACATCCCATATAATTATAAGGGTGGTTTAATTTTGGTGTGTCCTTTACCTAGGCCGGTTGCCGTAACCTGGCTAATGAACCCGACCTGCCCGGGTTTTTTCCTCAGGGATTTCCTTCTCCTAGTCCGGTTGTCTAGAGCGACTGACAAGACCGGACGCCTCGGATTTTTTAGTCAGGGTTTACTCCCCTAGTCCGATTGCACCGTGGCTGATGGGGTCGGACGTCCCCGGATTTGAAGTCAGGGTTTTCTCCCCTATCCCAGTTGCACCGGCAAAAGGTGCTAAGCGAGACTGAGAACCCCCGGTTTTTGTTCGAGATTTTCCTTTCTTTATTTCTTGAAGAGCCGACTCCAGGCTCTTGTCAGCCTTGCGCTTTTCTATTTGCTCAGCTACGGCAGTAGCAAATTGTTCAGAGGGGCCCGCCGTCAATCCCTCCTTCTGCCCTTCGTTGGATACCGACGCGGCGGGAGCAGGGACAGTTCTCCCTCCGTGCATAAAGGCGGGACTCCGCCTTTCCATGCCTCAAAGACGAAACGGGAGAGAAGACCGGATCATCTTGAGCCTTACTCTCCCACCTCTGTGCAGGCTGCGTGCAATGGCCGAGAATAACCCCTGGTATTCCCTTCCTGCAGCCTGCCTGATGTCCATAGGTCCAATTCCCCGTCTCTACCCCCGATAAACGGAGGACAGCGGCGAGAAGAGGACCGGACATTTGATCGTCACCACGCATAATAAATAACAATAATAAATAATTAAATAAATTAAATAATACTATTAAATACATGCGCTTAAGAACGGAAAAAGAGTAAAATCCTGGCCGTCCAGTAAGTCTATATTATAGAGGGTGTTGGCCCTGCCTTACCCTCTCTTCTTCCTTTTTGGCAGACATTACAGCCTCGCAGAAAGCCAAAAATGCCCGCCAACACTCTCTGTCTCTGGTAATTCGCTCGGCCACGGATTCCAGAGACAGATTTAGGCCCATCACCGCTGTGAGCCTGACCCTATCTACCAACCACGCGGGGCACTCCGCTAAAGTATGTTGGGCAGTGTCAACATCAACCTCCCCGCAATGACAGCAGAGAGGAGACTGCGCTTTGCCTATACGATGGAGATAGGCGTTGAAAACCCCGTGGCCAGAGATTATCTGCGTGGCCCTGAAGGTCAGTACAGCCCCCCGGCACGTCATCCATAAATCTAGAACTGGCCCAAAGGCCTCACGTACACGCTTTCCGGAAAGGGAGGCATTGCGCAAGCGCAGCTGCCACTTCACTACCGCTTCCCGCTCAACCAGTCTCTTGTACTCGGCAATCTCCACGGGCCCAATTAATTCCCCCGCTACACGACCTCGCCGGGAGAACTCGAACACGCGGGCCTGCTGCTCCGCCATTAGATCGATTGGCATAACACGTGCCAATATTCGAGCAGCCTCACACGACACTGTGCGATACGCACTTATCACTCTGCCTGCTACTACCCTTTGCACCTCTGCAAGGGGGGCAGATCTTCTTCCTATCTGGACCTCTCGGTACCAGATAGGAGCCCCATATAGCAGGACAGAGTGAACCACTGATGCATACATACGTCTAGTCCGTGTACGCGGACCCCTTAGATTTGGCATAAGTCCAGCCAGGGCATTTGCCACGCGGAGCGCCT